TGTGTGTGTCTGAGTGTGTGTGTGGTGTGTGTCTGTGAGGGTCTCATGCTGGGCTAAGTGCCGGGCTGGAGTGTGGTGTCCAGCAGTGGACATTCCAGCTGGCTGCTGTCCTCCTCCCTGGGCTCTGTGGAAGGTGGGGGTTGAGGGAATTGCCTGTGCCCCGCCTTCTTCCTGGTCACTCAGGCCGTGGGCCAGGCCCTGCCCCTGGCTGCCCTCAGTCCCGCCCTCTGGTCAGCTGGTCTCCCAGGGGTCTCTCTCCCCCTGGACTCCACCGGCTGGGAYGAGGTGACAAGGAATCATGAGACCCTTTGTCTGTCATCTCGGACACCAGGCTTCCCGCATCTGTCACCCCTTCCTGGCTTCCTGGCTTATGCACCTGCTGGAAAGGGTGATAGGTTGAGCTGTCCTGATGCTCTTGGGGTGACAGGACATCGGGCTGAGTTGGCACACATCTGGATCTGTGTCCCAGCATCTCTACTGAAAGCTGTGTGGCCTTGGGAAAATCATTTAACCTCTCTGAACCCATTTTCCTGGGATAAAATGAGGATAATGGTATTTCGATTCCCAAGGCAATCATGACTTTTAAGGGAGAGAGTCAGACACGCTGTCTGGGGTGTAGACATGAGGATTAAGGGAGAGAGTCAGACACACTATCTGGGGTGTAGACATGAGGATTAAGGGAGAGAGTCAGACACGCTATCTGGAGTGTGGGAATGCCGATTGTCATCATTCATCCTTGTTCACTCTTCCCGGTGAGCACGGCTTCTTTCCAGGGTTTCCAGTGCTCTGTTTGGGAGTCCATTCTGGAGCCTGGCCTGTGGTCAGCAGCCAGCTCATCTGTCAGTCTCTCTCCCAGTGATGACATTCCTCCAACTCTTTAGCCGTCGCCACCGCCCAGTCTTCCAGGCTGGCCACAGTGAGTGCCATTAGGAGACCACCGTGCGCGGTGACAAGCTTCAGAACATCTACTCGAGGCCTTCCCGTGGTGTGGAAGGAGGAGCGTGGAATCCGGCCATCCTGGGGGGCTTCCCTTCATGCCCAGGGTCCCGGGAGGGGAGGAAGGGCGGGCAGTGGAGGGAGGGGGCAGGTGGGGGCAGGCCGGGCAGCTCTCCCGGAGGCCCCGAGTGCAGAGCTGGTGGGGGAAGCAGGCCCCGGTGCTCGCTGCGCCCAGAGCACAGTGTGGCCGGGCCAGGGCCTGACTTCCCAGAGCCCGGCGCTTGTCAGGCAAGGGTGCCCACGGGAGGAGCCCCAGGAACACTCTGAGGCCAAGTCCCCGAGTCCCTGAGGGGCTTCCCCGGAGGGACCGTGACAGATGCGCTGCTGGGCTGGCGAGCCGTGAGCCAGGTGTGCTGAGGGCTCAGGGGCCTCCTGGGATCCCCGGGCTCTGCTGGCACGGAGCCCCCACACGGCCAGATGTGCTCCTACTGTGTGCTGCGATGGGCCCTGGTGTGGACACACTGTGTGGGGACCGCACTGCTGCAGCAGGTCTGTGGCCATGGGTCTGCGGCCTCCCCGGTGGAGGCTGTGGTCTCTCAGGGAGAGAGGAAGCAGGGACTGAAGGTGTGCGGAGGACTGCTGCCCGGCCACACTCCCGTGCTGTCCTCAGGCAGCATCCTGCACTCTGGACCACGTGGCTTCCTTCCGGCCCGCGTCCCTCCCTTCAGACAAGATCGTCAGTGTCCACCACGCTTCCCTGTGAGCGGAGCTGCGGACAGGAAATGGCCGGGGTGTCCTGGATCCAGGCCCTTGCCCGGACGTGAACTGGACACGAACACAGGAGAGGAGAGTCTTCGCAGGCGGCCTCAGTGCCGAG